CACCCTCCATGGCTCCAGAAAGTCTAGAGTCCATGAGAATTTAAAATTCTGTTTTGCATTTTCTCCCTTTTGATCAGGATTCTTCTAGAGAATCTTTGATCAAAATGTTCAGTAATGGTAGCTGGGCATCATCCAGTTCTTCTGGTCTCATGGCAAAGCAGGCAGTTGTTCATGGAGGCAATTAGCAAACATTCCATATCCTCCTCCTATTCCTGACTCTCCTTCTTCCTCTGTTGCTCCAGGTGAATACAGATCAATTGTGGGGTGGATGGCCGCTTGCAGGCTTTTAAGAACCCAGGCACTATGCAACAAACTAGGAGGTAGAAGAGAAGCACTAAACATGTTATTAGGTCAATTAACTGGGATGTCTCATGAAACCATGATCCTAAACCTCCAAACCAAGGAACCAAATCCCACGAGATGTTTGCTTATACATAAGTAGCCGCAGCAGCTACTCTTTTTTTTGCTATTGCTGTTGTAAATATATCTATCACACAACTTTTGCCAGTTCAATTTTTTACAGGTGTACAACTTATTGACAGCAATTACAATATCAGCTATACAACCCTACTCTTAATCAATGTGATTTTTCCATCACCATTAACCCCCTCCCCCCCCCACCTCTGCTAACTACTAATAAACTTTGGTCTCTATACAATTCCCTTTATTGTCTTTTTATATAAGTGAGGTCATACAATATTTGCCCTTTTGTGACAGCTTATTTCACTCAGCATAATATCTTCAGCTCCATCCATACTGCAGCATGTATCAAGACTTCATTTTTCCTACTGGCTGAGTAATATTCCATTGTATGTACGTACCACATTTTGTCTATCCATTCATCTGTTGATGGGCATTTAGGTTGTTTCCACCTTTGACTATTGTGAACAGTGCCACAATGAACATTGGTGTACAAGTCTCTTTTTGAGTGTCTGCTTTCAAGTCTTTTGAGTATACACCTAGGAGTGGAATTGTCAGGTCATACAGTAGTTCTATTTTTAGTTTTTTGAGGAACTACCACACTGTTTTCCACAACGGCTGCATCATTTTGCATTCCCTCCAGCAATGGGTAAGGGTTCTAATTTCCCCACATCCTCGCTAACATTGGTCATTTTCTGTTTATCTTGGCCATCCTAGTTGGAGTGAAATGGTATCTCACTGTGGTTTTGATTTGCATCTCTCTGACGGCTCATGATGCTGAGTATCTTTTCATGCGTTTGGTGGTCATCTGAATGTCCTTTTTGGTGTAATGTCTACTCAGGTCCATTGCCCGTTTTATGACTGGGTTATCTGTCTTTTTGTTGTTGTCGAAGTTTTATATATATTTTGGTTATTAGATTCTTATCATATACATGGTTGCCAAAGATATTCTCCCAGTAAGTAGCTTGTTTTTTCACTTTTTTGGTAGTCTTTTGATGAACAAAAGTTTTTAATTTTTATGAGGTCCCATTTATTTGTCTTTTACTATTTGTGCTTTTGTTATTATATTCAATAATCCATTGTTGAATGCTAGGCTTGACAGCACTGCCCCCTGTTTGTTCTCCTAGAAATTTTATGGTTTAATTTTCACATTTACGTCCTTAATATAGAATCTGATTTTTAATAATGGCTGTGTTTAACAATCAGCTTGCAAAATTATTGAAAATATAACAGTAGGCCCTTGTGAGCTAGTACAAGCCAGCACCAGCACACCACTGGATGGTCCTTCCAACCTGGAAATTCATGTCCTTCAGTATTGGAAAATTGTCCTATATTATTTCTTTGATAATTTCCTCTCCATTTTCTCCATTGCTCCTTCTAGAACTGGCACGATACTGGACCTCTTGGGCTGATACCTCTAATTTTCTTATTATTTAGCTTCCACTTTCCTTCTCTTTTTATTCTACTTTCTTGGAGAGTTCCTCAACTATAGCTAACATATTTTACATTTTCAGAAACATCTAGCTGTTTAGGAATGTTCTTGTTTCTGTAGCTTCCTATTGTTCAGCGAATGCAATACTGTTTATTATTCTTTACTCTGTTGGTTTTGTTTTGATTTCTGTTTCTTATGATAAAGACTTTCCTTAAATGATTCGCAATTCTTGGTTTCCATTTTATTTTTTCTTAAACATTTATTCTGACCCATAAAGGACCCATTTTCACTTACTTTTACCAAAAGATCTTACTCTTACCAAGAGACTATACAATTTAGCATTTAGAACCATGTGTTCACAGGAAATAAAAAATAATTTCAATTTATACCTACCTTATATTTTCAATGCAGCAAAGTATGATACAGTAGTCAATAAAATATACTATATTAGGATACAATTTTGTAGGGGAGATGGATTAGGTATATGAATTAATAAATTCAAAACAATATAAAATTTCCAACAAACTGGGAATAGTTTGCTCTATATTTTATATATCAAATACTTGATTAATAAATTACTAAGGTATTTAGATTCCTTGGTGCTGTAACAATTTTATTTTTAAATGTCAATGTTTACCATACACTGGAAATTATATCCTCTATAACTTTTTAAATTTAATAGCAAAAAAAAAAAAAACTTAAGAGATCAACTTAAAAATGTGTGAGGGTATCTATACTTTTTCAAAATCTTTTGCTGGTATGGAGCAAAGTTTTAAAGATCACCAACCTGAAATACAACTTTTATTTGTTCCTCCCTGAGGCTTCCTGTAATTTCTCAATTCCAGATGCATTCTGAAATAATTTTCAGAAAACGCAGCTTCTTCTAATTCCTGGATGACTTCATTCATTCCGTGAACACTTAATGAGCTCCTCCTATGTATCAGTCACTGGCCTAGGTGCTATGAATAGGACAGTGAATATAACAGACAAAAACTCCTGACCTCATGGAGCTTACCCTCTAGTGACTTCTTGATGTTGTGACTTGAATGTACCCAGTTTTTTTTGTTTGTTTTATACCTAATCCCTTAATTCCTTTTGTTATTTGTTGGTAATGATTTGCTTAATTTTAAAAGTGATTTATTCCAAAATGAAAAGAGAAAATCTGATCCATGTTCTGCTTCCAAAATTCCTCCTTTACTGAATAGTTGCTAATAACGCAGAATATTTGTGTGTACCAGAGAAAAAGGAAAGGGCAAATCCAGCTATCTGAAAATCAACATCCATCTATTTCTGATCTAGTACTCTCTTTATAACGCCAATGCATTGAGACATCTGCTTTGATCCTTCTCCCCACTGGCAGTAATGCTTATCCTGATTCACCCACCAACTCTGGTCAGGTCTAGCTTGGGACCTAAAGCAGATACTTTCCATAACTGGCTAAGGTTGGGGGAGTAACTCAGAACTCTGAAATCTGATGGGCACTAACTGACTAGAGTAGGATTTAGCTTGGACTCTGGGCCTAAAGAAACCAATCATTTTATAATAATGTACTAAGATGATATTAGAAACCTTGGTTCATAGGAGGACTTTGTTGACTGGTGGGTATCAATTTAGGGTGACCTAGGTGTTTTGCAAAGGGACTCCAATGTCATTATCTGAAGGTCTCTTCTTTTGAGTTGATTTGGTTTTCTTAGGGAAATTCATTAATCTCCTGCCTGGGGAGTATAAGCCTGGATGTCAGATGTGGTAAGGGCGACAGGAGTCTCGCCCTTCAGTACGTCAACTTTCACTTAATTCCTCTGTTTTCACTCTGATATGTCTCATCCTGCTCTCAGCTATGCCTTATGAACCTGAGTAAACCTTTACCCTTTTGCTGAGGTGGAGGAAGAGGCCTCATCTGACAGCATAGGCTAAGGGGAAGGATCTAGAGGATCTGACTGCTCCTCTTAAGAACTTCACCTAATCCTCCTGATTTCAGGCTACCTCATACCCCACTTCAGAGGTATCTAAGGCCTCCAATCTCTGATCCTTTACAGAGTTCTGTGGTGAAAGTCAGGCTTTCTTCTTGACGACTGAGCGCTACAGGCATAAGTTTCTGCTCTCTGAGGTTATCATTCATCCACTGCCTTTTCAGCTTCCAAATCTGTGTTGATATCTCCTATCACCAATAGACTCCTTTCTCATTCTTTGTTTTTGCAGATTTGTACCTCTTATTCCTTTACTGTCATTTTTAATAGAGTTTCGGGATGGAGAGAAGATAAATGCATTTGTTCAACACATCATGTTTAACCAAAAGTTCTAAAATGATTTCCTAACTGATTCAACAAATATTTAAGATCTTGACAATGTACTGCTGAGGATATAGCAATAAACAACAAAGGCACTGTCTCTATCTTTCTGCAGCTCATGTGCAGTCTAGCAGGAATCACAGCCAATACACAAGTAATTCCACAGGTGCTGAAAGAAGAAAAGGAGACATTCAGAATGACACAAGAGGTTAAAACAGGCAGACCTAACCCAGTCCAAGTGAACAGAGAGAATATGGGAAGGTTTCCTGGAGGAAATGACTATTAGTCTAATGCCAACAATTTTCTGAAAGAAAAATTAAGCCTATTAAGTCTGGTAGAGCAGCTTACCGGCGTTGGATCTGCCTTGCAAAATTGTTACTGGAAGCTGAGCAGGGAAACTGGACTTCACTGTGCAGGGCAGCATTACGGAAGAGGTCACAGAAGTTCTCAAAGAGTTCCAAAAGCTCATCTGATGTATTCTCAAATACAGCAATCACCTCTGTTGTCACCATATTGTACACGACAAAGAAAGATGCCTGCAGAAGAACAACAGAGCGTCACCTTGAGTCGGAATTGACTCGACAGCAACTAACAACAACACGGGACAGCGGAGTGTAAGGCCATGCCTAGGGAACTTACCATTTGGGTGAAATTCAAGACACCCAAATAAAACAAGGAACACTTCAGCTACAGCACTAGGGCGGAAACATGGCTCCAAGTAGTTCTGGGCAAGGAAGAAGCCTAGGTGGGCTCTATCAGCGAAGAGCCTCAATGTTGCCAAATTCCCCACAGTATCTGCACTGCTAAAATTACTGAGTTGGCCAGCATATGTATATAAAAAGGTGTTCAATCTTCCATTTCAAACTGTGCAAATTCATACATTTCTTTCCATGTGTTTATTCTCTACTTGCTCCTCAACCCACCCTGAGATAAAAAACACTTTTTTAAAATGCCAGATTTAATTTTCTTTCCTGCTGAGAAAGTGATTTGCAGCCTGGGGCTGTCAGTTGGCAAATTATTTCTTCCTGTATCCGTACAGTTGAAAGTTCAATTTAGGGGCATTTCTTTTTCCCTCTTAATATTTCTAACATGCAGAGAGACACCTTAAGTACACTGTGCCCAGGCAAGTTGTATCCAAGCAGGGTACTGCTGCTAAACAAACGAAAAATCAGAGGAGCATTTTTAATTTCTTTCTTCACAAACGTGCTTCTGGCCAAAAGCATTTGTAAGATACATTTGAGATTTGTAGCAATTAAGATCAGAGGGGAAACCCGAAAAGCATTCAAATGCCATAGGTGGCAGAGTTACTGCTTTTTCTGAATGGCCCCCTAGGTGACTACCCTCTTCCTTTAAACCTCAAGTGCTCTGCTCTGCCTAACAAAGGAAGAGCCAGGTACCCCTAGTTTTGGCCACAGTGGATGTGGCCGTGTGAATTAATCTGCAAGCTTCCCACAGGACTCTAGAAGTTTTCAGGACAGTAGGATTAGTAGTCCTCCCTCCTAGGATTGAATCTAAATCTCCATTACCAATTTCTGGAGCCATTTGGCCCATCTATTTTACTAGTAATTAGTCCTTCCCAGAGCTTATATTACATGGCTTTTGTGGTCACCTGGAAATTAAATTTGGCTGTAAATTAAAGAAGCTGAGTGGTAACCTGAGAATAATACCCTTAATATTACCACGGCTTTGTGTTTTCATGTACTTTTTACTTATTAACCTTACTGGAACCTATCAAATTAAACAGGGGGAGAAAGGAGGAGGACAACTAGGGCAGAGAGACTGGGTTTAAAGTTACAGACTCTGTAAGCAAAGCACAGAACCCTAGTAATGTTTCTAGCTACGACTAATTGTAGCTACGAGACCAAAGAAAAAAGCAGGTCACATTTTAGCAAAGGAAAACAGGATAATCTCAAACGCGGCAATCACAGACAACTTAGTCCCTCCAAAATAACAAAGTAATTATAGCACAAACCTAAATAAAAGACTGACTCATGTCCTTTCTATAGACCTGGACAACACTTTGATCATATCAGGGCTTCACCAGGATCTCTCATAATTACGTGAATATAAAATTACAGAGATATTTACTAGCTTCTCTCCAGGGCAGACAAGGAAATAAAGGACAGGAGGGTAAAGAAGTCAAGGACTTCACCACCAATCTCCTGTGATGCATAAAAGAAACTAGATGTTCACCCATGATAGCTCAGAGAGTGACTCCCCCACTGTTAGGGAAGAAAGAGTCCAGGTTAAGCTGGAAAAATTCTCCCTAGTCATATTACCCCACTGCTTTTTTTAAGAACACACAAGCTATGATTCAAAAGAAAAATGTTAGAACTAACATTTTACCGCAGGTGGCTGGTGAGGTCTTAGACGATGCCCTGTACTATGGATCCCTTAATGGTAGATCAGCTGCAGGTCAATGGAAGATACTAGACTCAGCTGACTTTGTGGGCTACTGGTTTGTTTGGCTGTTCTGAATTTCCAAACTAGTATCTCAGGAGACAATGTGAGATAGGAGACTGGGGAGGCAAACAGAACAAAGATACAGAAAGGTAGGTCTCTTGCTTGGTCAGCACCAAGGTGGATAGCTTCTCAAAGAGAAATGCCCATTTTCATAACAGCCCCAGAATGAGAAATATTTATCTCTGTTTTATAGATGTGTGACCTGGGGCCCAGAGTGTTAAAGCAACTTGCCGAAAGTCACACAGCTGCTAATGAGTAGCAAGGCTAGAATTCAGATGGGGTGTCTCTAGCTCTGAGAACATCTATGCTTTTCCATCTATGCTTCACTGCTCCAATTTTGTGGTAAACTGCCTGTTTCCTATTATTATTGTGTTGAGCTGTGATAGTTTCATCTTCGTAAATCAAAACGCAAGCATCCTGAGGGCAGAAACCTGACTACCCACTTATGTATTGCCTAAAAAAAAAAAAGAGAGTGAGAGAGAGAAATGCCCAAATTCCATTAAATTACAAACTGACGTTTTCAATCCAAGAAGCTTGGTAGTTTCTGTGCTCTGGACACCACCTCATTTCTACTTCTCTGTGAAATGCCTCTCTCCCCTGCCAACACTTTTCATCCAAACTGAAAAACCTTCAGGACACTACAATCCTGATCACTCAGTGGATCAAAAATTTCAGCTTCCTTTTGATCTTTTCATGGCTCTACAACCTACGTTCCAGCACATAGGCACAGTCAGAGTAAACTGTAAAACTCAACTCTATCAAATGAACTTACCTATTAGTTACCTTAGAAATAAAACTTTGTGAAGAAGTGAACTGTCATTAACTATTTAATCAGGAAAGTGAGACTACGTTTTTATGGGATTTTCTTTCTCTTTTAGTCAGGTGGGCCCTTTCCCATTGTCAAAATAAAAACAGTCAGACCAATAAGGACAGTCTTACAAAATCAAGACAGGATTGTCCACAGGAAGTACAAACCTTGACCCTGTAGCACCTGGGCTTCCATCTCACGGGGACTGAAACGCTGTACACTTCTACAGGATAATAACCACAGAGCTGACTATCTAAACCTCAATGGTTTGAGACATTCTTTGTAGAGTCACCAGTTCCCTGCTTCAACAGTGCTGGGACGGAACCCAGCGCTCAACAACTGCGGCCCAACCAGCTGCTCAAAGCCAGCCCTCCACCACCTCCTCACAGTGCCCTTGGGCTGCCTGGGGGCCCCCACTGCCTCTCCAGCACCGTGTGGTCACTGCCACCTCTCCGCAGCCACCCATCATGACGACCATGTCCCCCTCCCATATGCGCCCAATCTACAACTAGGACTCAGAAGCAGTCATCGACTGGCAGATCAACCAGGAGCTCTAAGCCTCCTATGCTACCTGTCCATGTCTTACTACTTTGATCACAATGATGTGGCTTTAAAGAATTCTGCTAAATATTTTCATCAGCAATCTCATGATGAAAGGCAACATGCTGAGAAACTGATGAAGCTGCATAAGCAACAAGGTGGCCAAACTGTCCTTCAGGATATGAGGAAACCAGACCACGAAGACTGGGAGAGACAGCTAAATGCAACACAGTGTGTGTTATACTTGGAAAAAAGCATTAGCCAGTCACTACTGGAACTGCACCAACTAGCCACTGACAACCAAGACCTCCATTTGTGTGACTTCACTGAGACGCATTACCTAAAGAAGCAGGTGAAATCTATCAAGGGATTGCCTGACTATGTAACCAACTTGCACCAGATGGGGGTCCCGGAATCTGGCCTGACAGAGTATCTCTTTGACAAGCACACCCTGGGAGACAGTGATGGAGACAGTTAGGCTTTAGCCTGGCTTCCCCGTAGCCAGAGGTGACTTCTGTGGTCCCAAGACACTGCGTGCATGTTGGGCTTACCTTCACCTTTTCTGTAGGTTGTACAAAAAATATCCACTTAAATTCTTTCATTTGCACTATTCCTTTAAATAATTTGGTAACTCATCCACCCAAAAAGATGTCAGTGGTTTGAGACTTAGCTCCCATTTGTCCAAATACATGAGACTAGAGAAAAACAGAACTGATTTTAAGTTTGACTGAGTCCTAGGATAGCAAAAATTCATGACTACATAAAATGTGTACTTCTAGGGGACTGGCCATAGACAAAGAAAGAAGACTTCCCATTTTGTCAACGAGACAAGAAGGGTAAAGGGCAGGAGAGTTCACTTATACCTGTGATGGATCTGTGACCCGCAGTGTTACAACATCCTCACTAGTGTACTTGATAAACAGATGGTTTTCATCCAAAAGCTGCATCTTCCACATACGAAGCTGCCGCAGCTGGTCAAAATACTGGAAGAAGCGCCTCTTGGCCATTGCGCTACCATCCTGTTCTGCCCGGCGCCACAAGTACACCAGCAGCCGGTGTTTCAGGGAGTTGATGAAAGGATCCCTAAAGGGATTGGCCATGCCTGTCTGACTGTCCCGCTGTACCTCAGGGAAAACAGCTGACACAGTGAGCAGGTCATCCTCATAGCAGAAGCGGCCAATGGTCCGCACATCAATAAAAGTGCCTTCGGGAGTTACCTGGAAGACGTGGATGGTCTGCTGCTGCACTGACAAGATGGCCAGGATGTTCTTATACAAGTACAGCCCTTGGTTGTGTGACAGGACCACTTTGTCACATTTGAACGTGCGAGTGTCACACAAGCGGCCAGTGTGAAGGTCAATGATATGGAGGGAATAGTCCTCTAGAGGGGACCGTGGATTGGGAGTCACTGATTCACTGTTCCGATACACCTCATAGAAAGGAGGGTGAGGCTCGTCCGGGAGGTAGGCCGCTGAGCCCACAATGACACAGCGGCAGTCATCAGTGAACAGGCTGCATTCCCGGTTCAGATGCTCGCCATTGGCCGCTACATTGGTAATGTGCAGCAGGACAAAAAAGCGTTCAAAGAGCCGGCCCCGGATATTGACTGACCGCTGGTCATTGCCGTTGGAAAGGATCTCCCCCTCATACCCCTGCAGTAGGTCCTCTGCTGCCTGGCAGCCCTGGTACTCATAGATTTCAAGAGATGTCTGGTCCGAGGAAAAAGCAATAAAGAAGCGTCCATCAGGTGAGAATTTACGCAAGAAACAAGGAGGCTTCTCAACGTTGACAACTGTGAAGTTGGGGAAGACATTCTGGTGGAACACTCGGACCTGATGCCAGTGGGTACCTGCTTTGCCTGAGCTGATCCTTCGGCGTTCCAAGCGGTAAATGACATTTTGGTTTTGGATTCTTCGAGGTTTGATGGTGGAAACATGATGATCCATTATCACATCTCTGCATGGAAAAGGTAAAGTAGAAGTCAAAAAATTATAACACAATTTACCAAAACAGAAATACATGTAAGTCAAACAAATTCCCCTCCTTATATCCTGAACCTAGGAGCTCCCAAAATGACAGTAACTAGCATTTCTCCTTCCCAATTCTTAGGCAGAAAATTGTCCTCACATTTGAGTCTAGAAACAGGTTTGACAGAAGGATCTAGTTCACTAGGGATACCTCCTAAGCCTACTTAGTTGTTGGGAATGTTCCATAAAATAAACCTACAAGTGCACCAAATTTGCACAGTGGATAAGAATTACATTCAACTTGCGGTCATTCAAGAAATATTTATTGGACAGCTATTATATGGCATTCACTTTAAGGCCTCCCAGATGTTTTATTCTACCTTGGTAACTTGCAAATCAAAGCTAAATCACAGGCCATACAGCTCAATGGTACTTAATGAAAAACATTAAGCTGTTGCCGGGTTGGGGAGGGGGGAGGATAAGCACACTCCACCCTCTCTACCCCAGATATAAAACCTAGAGAGAATGCATGGAACAGGTTATTTGAGGGCTCTGAAAAGCTAATGTGATAGGTGAATTGGAAAGTACCACTGAACCACCAGTGAGTTTACCATTTTTCCTTTCTGGTCCTCCTGCTGCTTGCAGTCATAGACGTGCCCGCCAGAGCAGGATAACTAAAGCTCCAGCTTTCTGGCTGGAGGATCAGAAAAGGAAACCCCCAAGGAACCAGAGAGCACTTAGGAAATCATACAGAGGGAGGTGTTCAAGAAAGTGAGCCCACAAAGATGTTTATGAACTCCCAGGCTGGTCCCCAAGCTGTACATGTGTGGCTCTGTTCCTAATCATACTAAAGACTTTGATAACTGAACTGATAAAGAGACCAACACCCATATCTCAGATTGGCCACTGAGTGGCACATGTATGAGACAGATTCAAATAGCACTGCAAAGGCCCTGAAAACTGATCTGACATTGGAACCAGACTATTGAATACTGTGGCCTGAAGCTAAGTAGGTCAACTGCATGCCAAATCAAAAATATCACTATTCTCCACTCCCCAACCCCCACTGTTGTTGAGTCGATTCCGACTCCTAGTGACCCTATAGGATAGAACATAACTGCACCGTATGGATTCCAAGGTTGTAAATCTTTACAGAAGACAATGCCACATCTTTCTCCCGCTGAGCAGCTGGTGGGTTCGAACATCCAACCTTTCGGTTACCAGCCAAGCACTTAACCACTACTCCACCAGGGCTCCTTCTATTTCCAATAGGTTTTAAATAAATCCCATAGTCTCATAATATAATATTCAAAACATCCAGGATACAGCCCAAAATTACTCAGCATATAAAGTACCAGGAAAAATCTCAACTCAGAAAAGACAATCAAATGATGCCAATGTCAAGATGCCACAGATGTTAGAATTACCTAACAAAGATTTTAAAGTAGTTGTTATAAAAATGCTACAACAGCAATCACAAACACTCTTGAAACTAACGGAAAAACAAAAAGTCTCAACAAAGAACAGAAGACACAAAAAAGAACCAGATAGAAATTTTAGAGCTGAAAAATACAATAACCATGGGATAGGCTTAATAGCAGAATGGAGTCAATAGAAGAAAGAAGCAGTCATCTTGAAGACAGATTAGTAAAAAGTATCTAATCTGAGAAAATAAGACTGAAAAAAATAAAGAGTCTCAGGGACCTACAAAGAAAACAGCAAAAGGTGAAGCATTCATGTCATAAGATTCCCAGAAGAAAGAAGAAATAGAGCAGTACTAAAAAAACAATTTAAAGAAATAATGGCTGAAAACTCCCCAAATGCAGCAAAAGAAATAAACCTATAGATTCAAGAACTTCAGAGAACCACAAACACAATAAATCCAAAGAAATTCATGCCCAGACACACCATTATCAAACTGCACAAAACTAAGACAGAGTAAAAATCTTGAAAGCAGACAGATTAAAAACAGTGCATCACCTACAGAGGAACAATAATTCAAATGATTGTGGATTTCGCATCAGAAACCATGGAAGCCAGAAGGAAATAGAACATCATTAAAGTGCTGAAAGAAAAGTACTGTCAATCCAGAAGTCCAAGCCAGCAAAAACATCATTCAGGAAAAAGGTAACATAAAGATACTCTCAACTAAAGGGAAACTAAGAAAATCAATCGCCAGAAGATCTTCTCTAAAATAACTGCTAAAAGAAGTTCTCCAGGCAGAAGAGAAATGATACCCGAAGGAAACTTGGAACATTAAGAATGAAGGAAGAATAACATTTAAATGGTAAATATCTGGGTATATTTAGATTATTCTCCTTTTGAGTTCTTTAAAATGTTTGAAAGTTGAAAGCAAAAATTAAAACATTGTCTGATAGGGTTTACAATATATATAGATAAAATATATCCAAAAAGAAAACCAGTTGCCATTGAGTTGATTCTGACTCATGGGGACCCATGTATTTCAGAGTCGAACTGTGTTCCATAGAGTCTTCAATGGTTATGATCTTTTGGAGGTAGATCACCAGACCTTCCTTCTGAGGTACCACTGGGTAGATCTGCACCTCCAACCTTTTGGCTAGTAGCTGAGTGCTTAGCCGTTTGGCCAACCAAGGACTTCAGAAAAACATATTAAAAAAAACTATAACATAAAGAGGAAAGGGTAAGGTTTCTATATTCTACTAGAAGTAGTAAAGTACTGACTCTAAGTAGGCTGTGAAAAGTTAAGTATATATATTGTAATTCCTAGAGCAACCACTAAAAAAAAACTATAGAAAGAGACATAGTCAAAAACACAACAGAGAAATGGAAACAGAATACAAACAAATGTTCAAATAACACAAAAGAAAGCAGAAAAGTGGGAACAGCAATAAAAAAGAGTAAACAAACAGAAAACAAATAATAAAATCCAAATAAAGACCTAAATCCAAACACACCAGCAACTTTATTAAATGTAAGTAGTCTAAACACACCAATTAAAAGATGGAAATTGTCAGAATGAGTTTTTTTTTAAAAAGGCATCCAATCATATACTGTTAACAAGAAACTCGCTTCAAATATAATGATACAGGCAGGTTAAAAGTAAAAGAATAGAAAAAGATATAGCACACAAACACTAACCAAGAAAGCTGGAATAGCTATATTAAATTAATTTTATTTCATATCAATATTAATATTAATAGACTTCAAAGAAAATTATCAGGGATAAAGAGGGATAATACATAATGATAAAAGAGTAAATTCACCAAGAAAACATAACAATCCGAGATGTATATGCATGAACAATAAAACTGCATAATACAGGAAGCAAAAATTGACAGAACTGAAAGGAGAAAGACAAATCCACCACTATAGTCGCAGACTTCAACAGTCCTCTCAGTAATCGACAGAACAAGCAAACAGAAAATCAGCAAGGATAGAGAAGAACTGAATAACATTATCAACTAACTGGATCTCACTGACACTTGCAGAGCACTCTATCCAGCAAAAGTAGAACACGCATTCTTTTCAAGTACACATGGAACATTCATCAAGATAGACCATATCCTGGGTCATAAAATAAACCTTATGCAAGCTGCTGACACAGGAGCATCTGAAAATGCAAAGTACTGGTTTGGTTTTCTTTAGAAAGAAAGAAAAATAAGTGAAAATCAGATACTATGAAATTTTGTTTAAATCTATGTTTGATTCTGCATTTTTTCATCATAAAGTAGAATTTCTAAGTGTGTTTACCAAAAGGAACAAGAAATTTTCCTATAAAATATCAATAGGTCCAAAGACAGTTGACTTTTAACCCTGATTACACCTACTTGTAATATGAAACCACAACCATTAAAATTTTATAGTAGAAAACAGTGAGTGTTCACTCAGTGTTGCTGAGCTTATTCACCAACCTTGAGATAATTAACCACTGATCTAACTCCAGTTAACTAAATTAGTATAAAAGGCTGCAGATCCTCTTGGAATTAGGAACACATCTAAAGATATTTCTCCTTAAGAGTTATTTTACAAGTAAAAATAAAATGCATGTCTAAAAGATTAATTTTTTCATTGTGGTAAGCATATATATATATATATAATAAAACATTTGCCAATTCAACTTTTTTAGTAGCCATAGCTCTTAACCACTATGCCATCAAGGTTTCCACGTACAATTCAGTGATATTTATTATGTTCATCATGTATAACCTGCACATGTATAACAGATTAATTTTTAAATCCAACACAGAATCCAAATTTCCCACGGCACTGGGAATGCAAGGATGAACAAGACAATCCTTATGGGGACCTCTTGTTCTTGGTAGGAAAAAGACAAGTAAACAACAACAAAAAGTATGCTACAGTCCTTGTTAGTATACTGGTATCCCTACCTGAATGTAAAAATAAAAAAAGGAAATTTTAAAAGTATGCTACAGGATGATAAGCACCGCAATTAAAGAATATAATTATGGAAGCACACAGAACTTGTTTTATGCCTCAATAAGAAGAGGTATCAGAAAGGACATCGTAGTCTTCTACCGCTCCAACTTCATCACCTACCACTCTCCATCTTGTTCACTACACTCCTACAACACTCCTCTTCCTTTTAACCACTGAACATTTCAAGTGTTTCCATCTCCAGGCCTTTGGACTTGCTGTTCCCTCTGCCCAGAACACATTCCTCACATCTTCACAGAGCTGCCTCTATTTCAGTATACAAGTGTTAGCTAAAATAGCAACTCTAGAGGTTTTTCCTGACCGGCCTGGCTAAAGTAGTGCCTTTCAGCACATCAATCCTTTTACCCTATTCTATTTTCTTCATAGCCCTTATCACTTTCTGACATTATCTTATTTATCTGTTTCCTTTTTCACTATGTGTCCCCATACCAGAGAGCAGGGATGTCATCTAATTCATTGCTGTGTCCTCAGCACCTTGAACGGCGCCTGAGGCACAGTAAGTGCCCATAAACATGTTAAATGAATGAATGAGGGCAACATTTGACATGGGCT